GGTCATTTCTGTGAGCTTTGACTTTGATAAATAATAATTTAATATTATGTGTTGCAATGAGATGCAAAATTGTCATCCAAATATGAAAATAGGAGATTTTGAATGCAAGATTAAGAGATGGAACTCATGCAAATCATTTTTTTGCATTTAACGAAATACTTAAAAACTTATAGAGTTAAATTTATAAAGCAATCTTTAATATCATGTATAATAGACTTAAAAACTCTTAAATTATAAATTAAATCAGCACAATTTGAAGTTAAAAGATTAATAACTTTATTAAAAAAATTTTTAAATATAAAAAAACAAAAATTATATAAGATTATATTATAATTTCAAAAAAAGAAATTATTTGGAAACTTTCAATGGAATTATTTGATTTATTTAAATATCTTACAAATACTAAACATAGATTTTTACAAATTACGCCTTAAATGAATCAAATTAGATATAATAAACTTGCCTTATATTATGAAAATGGAAAAAAAATGTATGAAAAAATTATATAAATAAAAAATTACTAATGAAGAACTACAAAATACATCTAAAAGAAGAGCTATTAAAGTTGTAGTATATACTTATGAAAAAATTTAAAAAATATTTAAAGAAACTAAAAAAAATAAAAAGACTAATTTTACATTATAATCACAAATTATTTCTGATCTGCAATCTGAATCTTCTACTATTAAAATATGAAGAAATATATCTATTGAAGAAGATAAAGAAGAAATACATAAAAAACTCGCAATAAAGTTACATATAAAAAAGCTAATAAATTACAATCTCTTATTAAACAAATTGAAAGATCAATATAAGAACAATTAGAAAAAATAGGAAAAGATTTGAATTAGGATAAAAAAGAATTAGTAATTATATTAATTATAGAAGAAATAAAAATAAAAATAAAAAAATATAAAATAAAAAAAATTTTATTTAATTTTTTCTATATCTTCTTAACTTATTTAATAACATTTGTATTTTTTAAATAAAATATATTATAATAAAATTCAATTTATTTATCTGAATTTGTATAATATTTTTTATATTTTTTAATCTAAATATATTAAAATATATTGATAATTAAAAAATTAAATCTGATGAGTCTGAAATACTATTTACTAATTATTTTTGTGTATTATAGATTAATTTAGAATTTAATCATTAGAAAAAATAATAAATGCAATAAAATAAAATATATATAATAAGAAATTTGTTACTAACTTTTTATTATATCTTATATTTGTATTTTTAAAGATTTTCTCTTTAACTTTTCATTTTTAAAAGATTTTAACATATTAAAAATTCTAAAAGATTATAAGTAATAAAGGTTAAAGTTGTTCAATGTTAAATAATTATAATATAGTAAGCGTAAATAGATAATAAATATATTTATATTATTTATTTATATATATTATTTATTATATTATTATATAAAATAATTATTATATATAATAATGTAAACAGAAAAATACTTTATAAGAATTTTCTGCTTCACTTTAAATAATAATATAAAAATTATTAAAACTTAATTCATATTTTAACTTTTAACTATGAAAATTTTTTTACAATTTATCTTTTTTTTAATCTTAAAAATTAATTAAAGAAGAAATTATTTTTTTTTTAAATATAAAAAATATATTTGAATCAAATATTCAAATAAAATTTTTATTATAATATTAAAAATTAGTTAAAGAATTGTTGTATAACAAAAAATTTTAAAAGTATATAAAAATTATTTAGGATCGACATATTTTATGACTGTTAATCTTAGAAATATAAAAATATTACTATTTAATAGGTTTAATATAATAAATTCAATAAATTAAATTTTATATTTTTGTAATTATTAAAATTAAAAATTAAGATATATTAATAATTATTAATTTTAAAAGTTTAAAAATATTACTATTAAATATATTATAATATAATAAATCTAAAAATTTTATTTCATCTTTATAATTATAGATATCAAAATATTTAAGTTTTTTAAAATATTTTAAAAACAATTTTATACTTATAGTTTAAGAGATAATATTATTTTAAGCATAATATAAGATTATTATAATGTGATTATATAATAATATTATTACTATAAATATATTAATTATATAATAAATAATGTGATTTTTTATTAATACTTCTTGTATACAAATTTATGTTTTTTTTTATATTATTGCATTCTTTTATTTATCTCTATTTTTTTAATAACAATGAATTTTTATTTTTTAAAATATAATAAAATTATATAAATTTAATTAAAATTTTTAATATAAATAAATTTTTTAATAATAAAAAGCGATTATTATAAATGATAATATATTAAAACTTAAAATTATTAAAAAAAATAATTTAAATATAAATTTATAAAGATAATAATATATATTCAAAATAATTAAAAAAATATATTATAAAATATAACTTTGAAATATTTAAAGTAAATAATAATTAAAAATTTATAAATTTTTAAAATAAAAATTATTTTAGAGATTAATAAAAATAAAACTAAATAAATATAAAATATATTAAAAAATAAAAATAATCTTTATTAGTTAAAATAAAAATAATTATATTTTAAAAATAAATATTTAAGAATAATATTAAGAAAAAAAAAAAAATACAAAAATACAATTAATATTATTAAAATATAATTGTTAAAAATTTATGTAAAAAAAAAAAAAATTATTTTCTTTTTATTATAATGTATTTTGATTAAAGAAGTTTATTTTAGATTAAATAAAAATTTAGTAATACATCAAAAAATAAAACCTTAAATTCTTATAATTAATAATTTAAAAATAATAAAAAAGGTAATAGAATACCAAAAAGATTATTATAAAAAAAAAAAAAAAAATAACAAAAATAAGGATTATCAAATTAGTCTAATTAAGTTAAGTATTTTTTTAACCTTTTTATTTTAATACCTTGATCTTTTTTTTTAACTTTAAATTCTCGTTTTCTCTAAATTGAACAATTAATTTGTGCAATGAAATTTTCTTCACAACTTATTATGTTAAAAAATATTTGTTATTAAAGAACCATTTCACAAAGAATTTTCGTCTGTTTTTGACTCTCATATCTGTATATTTTATACAAATCAAAGTAAAAGCCAGTGTCAAAGATAGAACTTAAATCGAATTTAAAGCAAGCAAACTTTGAACGAAAATTTATTGGACGTTATAATGTTGAGCAAAGCATTCTAAAAAATTACAGCATCCCATTTTCTTAATTATCATTCAAATAATGACTCTAGGAATTCCTCAAATAATAAGAAATTTATTGAGAATTAAATGACTTTATAACCAAACCAAATGCCCAAATGTGTGATAATAAGTAAAACATCAATCAATAACAGAGAAAAAAAAAATATTTGAAAAACTATAAAAGTAAAAAAATTGAAAAATGAGATTTTAGTAATTATAAATGAAAATTAAATTCTGTCCATTAATTTTTTTTTCATCCTTTATTTTGTCCACCGATTAAGAAATTGTATAAAGATTCGCTAGATCTTGTAAAAAATTAGACCACCTAAGGAAAAAAGGAATATTCATTTATTATTATTACTTTTAAATAAAAAAAAATAAATAAACGAAAAAAATTTTTTATTAACCTATTTGTTCCACCATAACGTCAATGGCATCTCCGTCTTCCATGTCAAGCTGATATCAACAGAAGAAATTAACGGACAAATTATAAATAAAAAATGCACAAGTGATGAATGAATATATTATCGATATAAAATCTTTAATAATCGATTTAAAAAAATTTACCTCATGAGGTGTATTATGACTTTGAACTCGTTCGCCATCGTAAAGGAACCGGAGTGATGCCAACGATTTGCCTTGTCTTTCACAATACGCATCCATTAATTTTTTAAGTTGCGTTGTCCGTTTGATTTTGAAGAACACCTCGTTGTGATCCTAAGACGCAAACATAAATAAGAAGTAAATACTTAACGCGTCTTTTTAAGGTGTTGCAAAAATTTTGTACGAGTTGAAAATATGCTTTTAAGCGCGCAATGTTAGTGTCAACTTTCCGCTAAAGAAAGCCCACAGTTTTGGACGCGCTATATTTCTTTGCTATTATACTCTCCAGAATAAAGCATAAACTTACATTTCCCACTACTTTCAGATTAATGTGTTCAGTACTATCGCCTTTCTTTTCGTCTCCAGTTGGCGGTGCTTGGTTTTGTTCAGACATTATTTATAAAACTTATTTTTTGTGATCTTTACGGATGGTAGCTTTAGTAATAAAAAAAAAAACCAGGTAGTAGTAGGCCTTTTGAAATTTATGATATATTATTTTTTTTTTGAATAACGTGACAGATAGCTGGATAGTAAGTCTCAGGTTATAATGTTTATGACAAATTAAAAATGAAAGAGAGTTCATTAGGTTTCTATTTTATGATATTCTAAACATGTAAGTATCACATGATTGATTTGGCAACTTCTTATTGCCCAATCAAATTTTATGTTGAAAATTACGTAATTGTACAACTCTTCAAAAGTTACCTATATAAAGGGCATGGATCCAAAATATTTTCGACTTTTGTTTCGATAGTCATGGTCCAGCTGTCTTCTATTCCATCATCTGTTTCGCGTACATCCTATCCAAAACTTTATTTAAAAGCAAGCAAAAGACTTCTTCAGCCTCAATTTCTTTTACTCATCTTTGCTGCTAGCATCGGCTTGTTTATTACCTGTGTTGTCCTAGTTGATTTTCAAGACGACGAACCTATAGAAGACGAAGAAAACGATGAATAAAAACCTTTTTACTCCTTCAAAATCTATCAAAGCTATAAATTCTATGGAACATACCTCTACGATGAAAGATAACATTTCTGATAGATCCTCTTCTTCCAAAGAAATTTGGAAGAATGCTATAAACACATTACTTACTGCGCTCGGTATAATTTCATAATAATTAATTATTATTATTATATTTATATTTAATTAATTTACACAATTTATTAATCAGAGAATATTTTGTTGGATGAAAACGGAATGCCATTAAAGTTGAGTAGCACCGAAGTGGAAGAGAATGCCGAAAACAAGTTGAAAAGAATTGGCTGTACGTAAATTCGATGTTTGTGATAACTTATTCCTTGAGCTTATTTAAAATGTTTATTTCTTTTTCGTTTTAATTTTGCAGCAAATTCAATGATAATAGAGAATTTTGATATTGCTTATGGTAACCTATCGCCCCTTAAACGGAAACGTGAAGAGGATAGTCAGCGTAAAATCAAGACGCAAAAAATTTCACATTCTTTATCTTCGCAATTTGCTAGAAGCCTATCCTTTACAGAAGATGAGTCAAATGATGAGGGAGAATCATTAAACGCACAACAAGGTTCTTTAAACTTTACCTATGTTCCCAGACCAACAGACTTATCTCAGCGTAATTTTAAGTGTTATTCTCGTCGAAATTTCGGTGGAAAATGTATCATTAATCAGCCATTTATAACTAACGACAGCACTTGTGATATGGAAATCATATCTGATCATTCTATAAATGATTTGTCAGGTGGTGAGGATAAATTAGTTCATGAAACTGCTAGGATGCAAATTTTGCGTCGTATCTTGTCACATTCTAGTAATGAAAATAATTATTGGAATGTTCCAATAAATTGGATTGAATTACAAGCTCAGAAAAAACATATTCCTTTGATGGAATTTCAAACCCAATTCCAAGAGAAAAGTCGTGATATGGAATCCTCTCTCAATATACTTCATAATTCAATTCCAAATAATTATGATGATATTCGAGCCTTAATTGACAGGTTCTTGTTTAATGCTGACTGGCTAAGATGTGATTATAGCAAACCATTCATAGTAAGTCAGAAAGTACAAAATGATTCCATAATGTTAAATAAATCATCAGTGTATCAAACTTCTTTATTAAAGAGTTATTATATAATAATATTCTGATAATGCTTTTTTTTTGTATAGCAAATCTTTCCGCAATGGCAAACTTTGGGAAGAAATGTAGAAAACATTGTTCAATATGTTGAGATAATTGAAGATATGAAAGATACAGTGAATTCTGAATTTCCTAAAAGTGAGAAAATTGATTCAGACTTGAAACGAATTCAAGAAGTTTTAGAATTCAAAAAATCTCTATATGGAGAAATTTTACAACAATCTGGGTTGGCATGGAAAGCCTTCGGATTTCCAATAGAAGAAGCTTGGATTTATGAGGTTAAGCAATGGTTATACGGGTTGGCTTTTCATTGTTCGGAAATGATGAAGAATGAATTGGACAAGTATAATCAATCGTTAGCGGCGGATGACGCGAAAATTGGCGAGGTATTCCCGAAATTAATAATAATTCCAAAAAATGTAATTTATAAAAGCACGTGTACTTACACCAACTTATGTTTATATCAAAAAAAAGTTTATGGACAATGTAAAGACTTGTTTAAAAATCGCGAGTCAAACAGTTCAATTAATAGGAAATCCTGACAACGAACTCACTTTATCTAATATTTTCCTTACAACTTTATATATCGATTGGGGAATATCCCAGATTGCAAAAATAGAAAATAAATCACGAAGTGTTGAAGTTAGATTGATGCATATTTGTGATCATATCAATCATATTTTGCATCATTTACGTATCATACAAGACGTTGATGGCCAAGATTTTTCTTTGATGCATGATGATCAAGGGTTATCCTTAAATATTATTGAAAATTTTGCTGGAAGTTTGGTTGAAACAGGATTAAGATTATGTGAACATATCACTAAACCAAAAATTAAAAGTGTTACCGGTCCCGCCAACTTTTTATACATGTATTCTGAATTTGTGGTGAATTTTGTTAATAGGGTAAGAAACTTAATGATAAAACGGTTTTTTATTTTTTTATCTTGATGAATAAATATAATTTATTTATACGAATGAATCTTTCCAGGTAATTGAATATGCTGGAATGGATCAACCTATAGAAAAAAGAATGCGTCCTTTACTTACAAGTTTAAGAAATATGGAAGTCACGTTACCAGCTGTATAAAGGAAATAACCAAAAGAGAGGAGGGAAAAAGATGAATTCGTGGGTATAGGACTTAACTTGTAGGATATTAATTCTGTAATTTGCTTCAGTTATTATACACAAAAACATTTTTGGACAATTATACATATACACTAATAAATAACTCGTTTCAAAAAGTTCGTTACGATCTACAAATCACGTGCAATTAAATTCAACCAATCAGCATTCACAATTCATAAAATTTAACGATTTTTAAATTTAACCAATCAAATTGCCATAAAATAATGAAATTTATTGTAAACAAAAAAATTTCATTTTCAACTCCGATCATTATATTTTTTTAAATACCTTATTAGTATATTTTTTTTTGGAACTTTGTGTTATTTCTCTTCATCACTTTACATTTCGACTTTTTCTTCACTTTTTTCTAAAAAAAAAATGTTAAGTTCAGAAGACTTCAGTTCAGACGGGGAAGTTGACTATGATAAAGTAATAAAAGAGATAGAAGATATGGATATGCCAAACGCAATAATAACAAAACTTATAAATAATGCTGTAAGAATGATAATATTTTGTTATATTAGTTATTTCTTTTTTTTTATTTTTTATTTTTATTTTTATTTTTTGCGTGTTGTCCTCGTACAAACCACGCGTGTATATATATATTTTTTTCTTCCTAATGATATTGTTCATATATCAATAGGGTGAAATGCATTAAAAAAAAACGATCCCAACAACTTTTGACTAACCGCTTCTTACACATCAACAAAAAAGCTAGGTAATAACACAATACAGGATGATGCGAAATTAGCTGTAGTAAGATCAACCACTGCATTTATTAGTCATATCACCACTGCGTATCCTTTTTTTTTTTTTTTTTTCGTGTTTTTTAATTTTCGTTTAGAAATAACGATAATTGTAAAGTCCTTAATTCAATTTGTCAAATTTCTTAAATAACAGCGCTAATCAGGTGGCAAAAAGTAAAAACCGTAAAAACATACAACCTGTCGATCTATTTAAAGCTTTAGAGAAAGGCGAATTTGAAGAGTTTTTACCGAGATTAAAAGAAGAATTAAATTGTAAGTGCATTCAAATTTTACCTGATATTTTCATTTAATAAAGGATATTAGGATGTCAGGGAAGCTAAATATGACTTTCAATGCTAACCCACAAACATTGGCGGAAATAATTTTTTTTTCTAGTATTTCAGACTGTACAAAGAAACAAGAAATTTGATAAAGTAATACAGTCAGTTGAAGAAGAAGAATTATCAAGACAAACTTCAAATACGGTTATCAACGCTCCATCGGAAAGAGTTATTGTTGAAATATTACCGCATAATGGTATTACGAACGATTTATCCAATAGTGATAATAATGAAACGACTGAGACTGACATTGATAGTGGGAGTGGGTCTAAAGGAAAACGAAGACATTCTAAACTTTCAAAAAGAATTATAGAAGTGGTTTCTGTTAATATAGAAAATATTAGTAATATTTCACCAACCATAAATGGTAAAATGAAGCAAGAAAGTAATGAAACTTCACAGGTGGAAAATAATATAGAAAAGAATGATTTGCTGGATGATGGTAGTGATTTGACAAGTAATATAGGTTCAAGTAATGATGAAGGGACAAGTGGGGCTGAGTAAGTAGCTCATTAATGAATTAATATACGACATTATTCTTTGAAAAAAAAAAAAAAAATAGATTTCTTCTTATCTTGTATTATAATACTATATTTATAGAAGAAATCGAAGGATTGCAGAAGAAAACTAAGTCTGTAAATTAATGACTGAAATTTTTCTGTATGTTTGCTTATTATATAAATTCATTTAATTTTATTCAATCACCTGACAATGTTATTTCTAATAAGGATTGATTGTAAAATCGTAAAGGAATAAAATGTGCACCGAAACATTAGTATCGATAGATAATATTGGAAATAACGCGCAGAAAAAAAAGAGGACATACAATATATATTGTATAAAAAAAATACGCGTTGAACGAGCCACGTTTTCCAATTAAGCAGCAGTTTTTTTGATAATGGAGCAAATTTGATATATGGGGCAAATGCAAAATCTTGTAGTTAATATAATAATGGTCTCAATAAACTTTGCACGCGTTTTTTTCCTTTATTGAGAAAAATAAAAAAAAGAAATTTTTTAAGCGAATTTTATTTATAATTTTTAAAATGTAACTAAGCTATAATGGTAATGGGCCACATTATTGATGAATTAGGCAAAATTACTGGTAGATTTATCAATAATTAAAAAAATAAAATAAAAATAAAATTTTTTTTTTTTGGTACAATTTTTAAACGAAAAATAAAAAATAAAAAAATGACAAGTATAGCCAAAGAGTTATTAAAAAATTCCACTTATCCAATTATAAAAGATTCAAGAAAACATAAAAATTTATTTGAATTAATAAATGTCTTTCCAAATTACGGTGTCGGACTTAAAGTGGTTCGTGCAGAATTATCGAGTCAATTTTGACATTTTTTTTAATCTTGTTTTTGAAATTTTTTATTTTATAATGATATGAATGATGATGATAGGCACCGAACCATTGGATTCAGAAAGGTATTCGTGAAAGTTATTTTGAAATTACAAAAGTCAACCCCAGAATGAAGGTGAGCCTCATTTTTAATTTAATTTTTAAATACTTTTCTTTTAACGTTAGGCTCTTTTTATCGCCTAGAACATAAATCACGGAAAGGCATTTGGGATTAAGGTTTGGAAAGGTGAGTTTATAAGTGAAATTATTTAAATTAAATATCAAAGAAAATTTATTTTTATTTTTATTATTATTATCATTATTATTATTATTTTAAGGTAAAGTATTAAACGAAAACGAAGAGCGAATTCATGGAGCATTGAAATGGGGTTGGTATAGATGGAAAGAAGGAAGAATTGGTGGATGGAATTAAAGAATTTCTTTTTAATTTAACTAATTTTAACGCGTTTATGAATTTAATTAAAAAATCCTTTCACAAAAATCATTACATTTTTCTATATACATATATATATATTTTTTTTGTCTAAAATTAATTAATCGTCCTATATCTTGGTTACATTGTCTAATAAGATATAAATTAATTATCTAAGAGTCGCCGTTAAAGTTCTTTGTAATGACCCAAGCCCAAAATCCTTCTCCACCATGAAGGTGGTGTGGAATCATCTATTTGTTTTTGTTTAGCAGCTTTATCTAATGCCACAACAAGTCCAGAGTAATATTTTGGATTCGCTGCTGGTGTATACATTTTATCTGAGAGAGGATACTATGATCAAAAATAAAAAACCAGATTAAAATTTTTTTTTTTTAAACAAAAGATTTTAATCAGAACTTACCTTCTCTTTAAATTCATTTTCTTCCAACCTTCTTAGAGCATTCAATTCTTTTTCGGCATGTAAAACCAAATCATTATATATATTCTGATCTTTAACAACTATATTTTGTCTAAATCCTTCTGTAACACGTAAATGAAGTACTTGTTTTAAATTACGATTTGGTCGTAAAAGATCGTTTGGCCAATTTTCAATAATACGAAGAAATCCACGGTAAAGTGATAATATTTCTGCTTTGGTTGAAGTTGACATTGCGTTATATGATAATTAAAAAAAAAAAAAAAGGTTTTTTTTTTTCGAATCCAAAATTTTCACGATAATCTCTATTTTTTTATAACGTTACACGATTGTGCATGCCGCAGAATATTGTTCCTCGATTGAATTTATGAACAAAAATAACGGAATCAAATTTCTCATCGTAACCTTTTTCCTACAAATGTCTGTCCTAGATGATATTGAAGGAATTTCTTCACAAATCTTATCTACTCTTCCTCCTTCTTTTCTTCAATTCCTAGAAGCGAACGATATAGACCCAACTATCTACACAGTTCAATCATTGCCTCGCTATATTCGTTTAAATACACAAATTCCTTCTTCACAACTTCCTTCCCTTTCTGACCTATCTACTCAACTTGAATGTACTCAAATTCACCAAATTCCAAATTTTCCACATTTTTATTCTCTTCCTTCCGTAATAAAAATTGTTAATTCCTTAGCTTATAAACAGGGAAAAATATTTGGTATAGATTTAAGTTCAGCTATAGCAGTTTACTCACTTGATATTCATCCAAATGATCAGATATTGGATTTGTGTTGTGCTCCTGGTGCAAAATTGTGTTTAATTTCTAATTTATTAGATAATAAAGGGATCGGAACTATTACCGGTGTTGATATCTCTAAAAATCGATTATCCATTTGTAAAAATTTATGTAAAAAATATAAACTTGCTAAAGTTCGATTGTTCCTCGAAGATGGGACAAGGTTTAACGTTTTGGCTCCTTCTTATTTGGTACCTATAAAAAAAATCATTGAGAAAAATCGAATTCAAGATGATAATCGTGAATTAAGCTTTAAAGAATTTGGCGAAATTCAATGTTCAAAAGATAAAAATGATTTGATTACGCCTTTCTGGACACCTAAAATATTGAGGAACGATCCACAAAAACGTGACAACCAATATCTATACGATAAGGTATTTTTTTAAAAATTTTTGAAAACGCGATTTATGAAAGTAACGTGAATTGAATTTTTAAGGTCATCGTGGATGCGGAATGTACTCATGATGGATCAATTTCTCATATCCTAAAAGTTAATAAAATTTTTCATTTCAATGTTACTTTTCATTCCTTTGATTAGAAAATTAAAAAAACATTTTTATCCCTATCTAGTATGAGAAATCAGGATGGGAGAATTTTGAGAAAAACTTTTTAAATCCGGATCGCCTTAACAGTCTTTGGGATTTACAGGTAACTCATCTTATCTAACCTTACTTTGGGAACTTTTTCTAACTTTTTCTTAATTTTAAATTATAAAGCGAGATTTATTACAGAATGGATGGAATCTACTTAAACCCGGTGGAATATTAGTTTATAGCACTTGTAGTTTATCAAAGAAACAAAATGAGGATGTAATAGGATGGTTCCTAGCTAATTATCAAAATGCCCAATTAGAAACCATTCCAAATATTGAAAATTTAAAAACTGCCCCGCCAAAAGTATGTAAAAGTAATGTTGATTTATTTAAAGTTGCAAGGTTTGATCCTATACATTCAAACACTTCGGGATTTTTTATCGCGAAAATTAAAAAGATAAAAAGAACCCTAGATTCATTTTGATAGGATTGCGGGTTCCGCTTTCGTGATTTGTAAAAATTCTCTGCATATATCTTCCGACATCTTTTTTGTTAGATCAATTGTCTTGTCCTCGGAATTTTCTTTTTTTTTTTTTAATTGAATTTATTTGAAATTTTTAAATTAAATATTTTTTTTTTTTTTTTTTTTGAACACAAATTATAAAAAAGAATGAATATTTCATAATGATTAAATACCGAATTCTACTGTTAAAGTTGGTTTAACATCCTTTTCTTCCAAAGCAATAACTTCAACCGGCAAACCCGGATTATTATAAATTATTCGAGGTAAATTTTCTTTCTTAAAATATCTATAAATTTAAAATCGAATCAAATAGAGTTCTTTTAGTTGTGAACCAAAAAAAAAAAAAAAAAAGGAATTAAACCTTGCACCAGCGTTGTTATTCCTTTTACTATATACCAATGATACTTTTTTCACATTGAGACCGAATTTAGCTGCTCCTAAACCTGTTTGTAAATCTATTAACCTCGATGATATATTGGAAATTGGTATTTTTTTAATGATTTTGGTCGTCATTCCAAAGAACCCTTTTACTTTTTGATAATCTACCAGTCAAAATAATTGTGATATATATGTATATATATGACCCGTCTGTATTAAGGAAATCTCATTGGTTAAGGTAATGTTGGCCAATAATTAATTCTTTTTCGGTCTAGATCGTTACGTAACGCAAGAGCGAGACATCTAATTGTGTGATTATCGACCTGACTGATTTATATAAAATTTCGATAATAAATGATATATGTAGTTCGTGTATAACTTCGCGTACATGTGCAAATTCATCTAGTTTGGAAATTTTTGAGGTAATTTAAATTTTTACGTAACCCTACATTTGAGTTTGTTGGGAATTGCTCTTCCTGAATTGGTTCGTTCTTTTCGTCCGAATCCCAATTCCACCTCCGTAAAGATTATTTACATATGCAATATTTCCAAAAAAATCGCTGGGAAGTTGTTTTGATATTTCTTTGTTAATTTATTTTTTGCTTTATAGACGGCAAACCTAAAAAAAAATAATAACGATAATCGACAATTCTTTCTGCAATTTATTTAATTTATTTTTAACGATCGCATATTACACGTGTAATTTTAAGATAGCAAATATCATAAATATCATATAATAACCTTATCATTCAGTAAGCGCAAAAAAAAGGTAAAATAAAATACTCATAATTTTCATGTTAAACTTTATTGTATTGAACAAATTACACCTTCAAAAAGCTCACAAAATTAAGAACCTACTAGTAAACTAGTACCCAGGTTGCACGACGAGGACGTCAGTACTAATCGCAACCCAAAAAAAATGGAGCTCCTCAACCGAGAGAGCCTATGGGTTTCTATCTAATGCCTTTATTTCTATTTTTTATTTTTTATATTTTATTTTATACCCCTCTTTCATGCCCCAAGTTTTCCTTCTTGGCGGTTTGTTATTCCCAGTTCTGTCCTTCTGGGGCGTTTGGTGTCCAGTTATCTCTTCTGGAAGTTTGGTAACCAGTTTATTCTATCTGGTAGTTTGGCCAGTTTCTATCTGGTCGAAGCTCTAAGACCGTAAAAGGAAGGTACATAACCGGGACCTCCTCCAGAACCAGTAGACCTTTTACAGCTGTTTTTTCAAAGAACTTCTGTGAAAAAAATGTTTTTATACATGGGAAATGAAAGTTAAGGTTTTAATAAATATGTTAGGAGAGGGAACACAAAAAACAGAATGTGCTTGCGAAAGACTGTGTTCGCGTAGGTAAGGGGAAGGAGAGAAAGAATAGGAAAGGGAAGAAAAGGAAAAGAACAAAGGAAAGGAAAGAGAGGAGAGAATAGGCAAGTGTTAAAAAGAATTACCACCAATTATATACCCTATTACAGGCCGGATATTACCATATTTATCATTAGACTTCGTAATGGCAGTTCTAAATACTATTATTAAAATAAGAAATATTGTCTCGTGTATTATATATAAATTATACACACACACGAGGTTTGCAGTATTTATCTATCTATGTTAAGTTATTATTAATTTTACGAGAAGATTGCTAGGAAAATTAGGCTCTGAAAAAAATTCTCAGAGCCTAACTTTCCTAGTAATCTTTTTATATACTGTATTTACTCTTTATATATGAAAAATATAACATATATATTACATTTTTTTTTTATTAATAAATATATTACCTATTATTATTCTCTTAAATATATGTTTATTTAAAATTTTTATTAATAAATTTTGATTTTTAAAATTAAATGTTACATGCATTTTTTTATATTAAAAGATTTTATTTAATATATTATTTTTATTTTTAAGCTATAAAACATATTTTTACTTGAATTATATAATAAAGAATGACTTTTGATTAATTTTAAGCTTTTTTAACTATTTAAAAGTTTAGTTTAAATAATAATATTTTGAATGAATAAATAACTGCTTTGAACAGTTACTTTAGCTATTCTCAAGTTGTTTAAGCTGCATTTTAAATTTATTTGTAGTTGAATATTTTCTTTTTTTTTTGTAATATTAATGATATATTTTAAGTTATAAAGAGAAATTAAAAAATTTTTTTAAATACTTAAATTTGATAAAAAAAAAAAAAATGTGAATAAGTATTTTTAAATAAAAAATATTTTATTTTTTCAAATAGAAAGTTTTTTTAATTTTCACAATTGTTATTATGATTTTTAATAAAAAACATTTTTGTACTTCAAACTTTTACATCCTTTCCTTTGTTGCTTTACTCTTAAATGTATCCAACATTTTAAAATTTAAAGTTAAAAATAATTAAAATCACATTTCGAAACATATGATTTATTATATTCGTAACTCGATTTTAATAGCAAACCTCCCAAATGCTTTATACGTAAGCTTTATTTATATTGATATATCCAATAAAATAAAGTCACTCTGACAATATTGAAATACCCAAGTTTCTTAGGATAATATTCAATTCTTCTAATTCTAATCCCAACTTTATACTTGTTACTCAAATGGTAACATAATATGATTAAGAATTTATTAACCGTTTTACAACATTGAAATAATCTGATAATACTTTTTTTTTTTTTTTTGACGTGTCCATAAAAAATCGAAATAAAAATTAAATTTAGGATACAGAAATAAATCAAAAGAAAAAACGAGATCTAATTATCTAATAAGAAAAATTTTTTTTTTTTAAGTTATAAAAATTTGAAAAATGCTTCAGTAGTTCACGCGATTCTAAAAAAAAAAAAAAAGGTTAAAAATTTAGACCCTTTAAATTTGTAATGGAAAAGCTACAAACCTGCATGTCGGATAGATAATCTCTTAATTTTTCGCTACCTCTTTCAACAACATTTTTAATACTCTCATAATCAGAACTGGCTTGACCAATAAATTTACGCGCAAAATCTTTCGCGTTTATTTCAATTCCAGTTAAATCGAGACTCTCTTTTTGAATATCATCATCATCTCTACCGAAATATTGACTAGAAGATATAGAATTAGCTCCCTCAAATTGTCTTAACCGATCCGAAGCAGCTGATAAAGTATCTGGGTCATAATCATTGCGACCAAAGAATTGATCTGAAGAAATAGCTTTTTGATTTCCAAATTTTTGCCGCGCATAATCATTATCTATAGACATAATAAGTTTAAGGATGTGTGATTATGAAAGCCAACAAAAGGACTTCTGTTATAAACTTACCATTTTGAACTTGTTGGCTTGAATTATTTGTATTAGTAGAACCGAATCCAACATAGCGTGAATTAGTAGATTCTTCGGATTTTGTGGATGATGGTTTTGAAATACTTGGGGTAGTTCCAAATCCTAACCTTGAGAAACCCATACCAAGTCTCTCAATGTCATCACTCTTCTTTTTGTCATCAGTGTCTAAACCACTTCCTGATGTGGATTGTATATCATCGTTATACATTAATCGAGAACTAAAAGACCGTTGATCTTCTGATTTACGTTGTGACCCAGTATCAATTTCTTCTTCACTTCTTGCCAATGACTTAATTAATTCCTCCTCTTCTTTGGCTTTTTGTTCAGCTTCTTCAATATCAACTTTTTGAAGTTTTACTGCACCCAAACCCATCTTTGATTTTTTGGATCCTTTCCCACGTGCTGAAATATTTGATCTCGTAGTTGCTTTTGATTTCACTATAATAGGTCCATTTGAAGTTTTTGTTTTAACACTAGTTATTTCAGGGTTAGAGTTATTGATTTCTGATAATGGCTTTTTATCAATTTCTTGAGAAAAAGAATCAAAAAAGTCATCCTCTTTCTTAATTGCCTGTTCCCATTCTTGATGTTCAATGATGAAAACAGGATTTCTACACGGGGAAGCATATAATTAATGTGTTGATCTATTTAAAGAAACAAATAACTTGGATCCTGCACCGATAACTTACTTCGTTGCATCTTCTTTGGCTCGTTCTCCAATGACTTTCTTGTATTTTTTTGCAACATCGGAATCGTATTTTGATTTTGCATCCTTATTCAATAATTCAGGTCGTTTTGCGGTATGAATTACATATTCTTTAAATGCTTGATTCCCCCCAACTTTCATAACTCGTAATTGATCCCATGTCCATGAATCTAGTGAAATCGATCTGATTAATTATTCAACATTTAAAGGGTTAATTAATTAAAAACGATACAATTGATGGTATTGAATAGAAATATTAATTTAATATTTTAGATCATATACCTCACAAAACTGATGTGAACTCCAAGATTTCTATGTACCGAAGAACAATCTAAACAAAGATATATTCCAAAACTAACACTTGACCAGCTAGGATTTTTAGCTTGACAATCGAAGCACACCTGGGAATAGTTTACATTTTTTTATATTAGAATACATTGAAGCGATTATTATGATGATTATTATTATTTAAAGTGAATTTATACTTTATTCGCCCTAACTGAGGTTAATTTTTTGAATATTTCGCTAATTTGTGCCTTGGTTGGTTCCGACATCTTGAAATTAAGTGACAAATTCAAAAAAATCAAAGCAAAAAATACTTGGATATATAATAATGGCTTATTTTGAGGATCGGTTATTGATCTTTTTAGGCTAAATTTGAAATCAACAAAAAAAAGATAAAAAGTGGTAATTTGTTATTGGTCTAACCTAAAAACTTATTCGAATTTGTAATACAGATATGGTTTTTAAGATTTTATTTTATTGTTTACATTGTTGTCAATATTTAATTTTTTTGATTTTTTAATTATAATGAAAATATAATTGAAATTTATGATGGATAATATTTTTTCCGCCATTAATGTATAATTTTTGTTATGGTAGATAGATATAAAATATATACATATATATTTTTTTTTAAAAGAATTTTGTGGAACCCTAAATAATTTAATTCCCTAGAAATAAGCATAAAGCAAAAGAAAATAAAATATAAAATAAAATTATAAAAACGAGGCTTATAATTACTGTCTTGTTCACGATAATATAATTTTATTCCATGTCATATCCATGTCCAGATTGATTTTTACTGCGTCGCTTGCCTTTGGTAACTGGGATAAACCCATCATCATCTGGTTCATCGGGAACATTTGGTTTACTAGAAGATTGCGTTTTTGAATTATCTTCAGATGTAACCCATGAACCATCACGTTCATGTGACATCGTTTGATCTTCTTCGGGTTCGTCAATAAATTCCTCTCGTCCAGACGAAGTTCTCTCCATTACCGAAGATTCTGATTGTTTATTACGTGACCTCCAAATACCCTCTGATTTCAAAATACGCGTAGGTCCTTTAGATGAGGATGGTGGTGGTGGTGTTGAATCTGGCTCTTCGGTATCCTTTCTCCAAGAATCTTGGCTCTTTTTCCATTTATTATCCGGACGATCTCCACGGTCTGATGGTGGCTGCCCGCTGCGCCTCCATGGACCTTCTTGTTTGACACTTGGTTCTTCCCGCGATGATGATGTTACTGAAATACGACGTCGAACATCATCAGTGGAACCTCCGCGACCTGATTCGGATCGACGCCAGACTCTTTCTTCAGTTGTTGATCCTCGTCCAGAATCAGACCGACGCCAGTCTGACCCTTCATCGGTATTAGAACGAATAGGTGTGGTTGTACCTCGCCCCGATCCGCTTTGACGCCACACACCTTCTTCACGACTAGTAGCTTGCGGTTCAGCTGGACGACGCCAAGAATCGGCGCGTTTGTTTGGAGGAATATAACCACCACCCGTTGCCGAAACAGGTTTTTCCAGAATCCGGCGTCGAGCAATTTCGTTTTCTTTTTCGGTTTCCTTTTCTTTTTCTTCATGTCTTTTTTGATCTGCATCACGCTCGCGTTGTAATCTTCTTTCTTCTGCCAAACGTTCAGCTTCTTGTTGTTTGGCAGCTTGTTCATCAAGTTTCCTGTTGATTATAAGGTCTGTCAGGCGTTCTGCTAAAAAAAAATTAAAGGACAATTAAAATATCATTTGATGTTTACCTCTTTTTAGCTTCATATTCCGCCTTATCAGCCTCAGCCTTAGCAATACGTTCTTGCTCAGCACGCTCCGCAGCTAAAGATTCATGGATAAAATTGATTAAACAAATTAATTTGCGCAACGATAATTTATAAAATCTACACACCTTCTTTAAGAAGCCGTTGATCTTCCTCATCCTTTATTCTCGCCGCTTCTTCCGATTCAATTCTTATCCTTTCCTCTTCCTTCTTGGCCCTGTATAATAGTCGTCGTTTCTCCTTTTCTTCCTCAATTTTGGCTTGAGCTGTTCTCCTACGTTCTTCAAATTCTTCAAATTGCTTGCCCTCAATTTCTTTACGATATTTTTGATAATCCGGCAAAATTTTCATTAACCTGGTTTTCACTTTTAGATCTTCAGCGTGCTTAGCGGAAGCCAATTCAAGTTGTAATTTACGAGCAGCTTCATGATAAGCTTTGTCCGCTTTCCTTTGTCGTTCATAATCTTTTTCAAGTAGAGGAATCTCCTCTTTACGAAAAGCGCGTTCAATATGATCCATACGTTTAGCAATAGCTCTAAGCCGTTCATTGAGTTCTCGTTTTTCTTTTTCAAGCTGAGCAACTTGGAGTTGAACCAAACTGTCTGGGTCCAAATTTTCCAAATCCTTGTGCAAAAAAATTATGTTATTGAATTTTCAGTAAAAATAAAATTCTAAAGTTAAATAAAATACCTCGGGTTGAACTTTAAAATTCTTAGCCTTCAAAGATTCTGCTAATTTACGAGATTCCTCTCTTTGTATAGCTTCAATTTCACGTTTTTTCCTCTCTAACTCACGTTTTTTGACATCTTCCAATCGTCGCTGTCTTAATTCATCATCTCTTCGCTTTAGGCGGATGAGCCGCTCTCTTTGTTCCTCCTTTTCTTTACGCACCAATAACGTTTCTACCAATTCCCTTCTACGTTCGATAATAGCTTTACGCGCGAGAGCGTTATTATGCTCCTCCTCCATACCAGCAAAAGCGCGTGATATAGCTTGAGCCCTTGCTTCCTCCTTGGCTTGAATTATGGTGGGGTCTATCATATGAACAGTAGTATAAAAACATTTGGCAAGCTTTGAAAGTTGATCACGCATTCGATCCGCTGGTGAAGCTTGTAACTTTGCACCATCGGCATCAGCATTTTTAGAAGCCGCAAAAAGGTCCGTTTCAAATGTCAAACTTTTTGTTGTATGATCAATCCTAATCGAAAGCTCTCCTTTCTTACAACCGTTCATAATAAACTTTTCAATAGTGGCAGCATCATAATTATAAGGAGGTGCAAAAGAGGCAAGATTGATAACAAACTCAAGTTCAATTGAATCATAAACTTGAGAAAGTTGTTGGAAAAGACGAGTCAAAATGACTTGATGTAAAGGTTTTACATATTTAGACATTTCAACATCTTGAGCAAGGTGAGTCATAATCGGTTCAATCTTTTTACATATGGACAAGGGATGAAATTGGACTTCCAGGATGTTGTAGAGGTCTTTTAATTCAGGACGTACGCGCCGTAGAATATTTTTGTTGAGCTATCAAAAAAATTATAAAACAAAAATTTCAAAAATATAAATGGAAATATATATTATATTCTTTAGTTAAATGAAATACTCACAGCTTCTTTTAACAATCCAGATCTAGTTGGTGAACGACTCATTCCTAATAGGGCGGCGAGTCTATGAGTTTTACTTTTGTTGTCGTCGATTTCAAGTAAACGAGTCTTAGAGCTAGTGATAACAGGGATAGCAAGGGCGGATAACAAGACAAAAGATGCCATTCGAGTATTTTCTTCATCGGTTAATGTTTGTTTTTGAGCTCTAACTAAAGTATAGTATCTATTCCAAGAAGCAGCGTGGAACAAATAATTTTCGCTAACCAAAAATATCTTTGTCAATTTGTCATAATAATTGGCCATCATAACAGGTTTTGCAGGCCTTTTTGACATGGACAATAAATTATGAATGTCTTCGACAGATCGAAATGCTTCTTGCCATAGTTCTAATTCAACAGCTGCATTCAACTGATTAAACCTAGTATCCAAATGACGTTGAAGACTTTCAGGTTCGTTTAAATTTATGGAATGGGGTTGATGTGCATATTTAGCGATATTTTGAAGATGATTACGAAGAAGATCACAAAGTCGACGAAATTCAGTTTTACGAGTATATTTCAGACAAAACTGGAATGCCTGATGTGCCGTTTGCTATATTTAATTTAATAATGATATATAAGTTTATAAATATAATTTCTCAATAGATTTTGTCCAAGTGCAATTTTAGATCACATACTTGATACAATATCTCCAAACGAGCATTATTTCTCAGAATGTCTAAAACAGTCCTGTACGCCTCCCATAAGAATTTCAGCCAAGGAGTGACAACAGCTCTATCCGTTCTATCCTTGCTCTGCTCACCGCTCACAGTACTCAACATGATTGACTCGGGAGTTTCAGACGCCTCGAGATCATCAATAGCATCCAAGGTAATTTGATCCGCTTTCGCTTGAGCTGCAGTCACTTTTTCCTCGGAGAGTTCAATAAATTTTTTGATAACAAGCTAATGGAGGATAAAAGTATAAGTGAAATTATTGTGAAATCTTAGTTATGATTTTATCACATATTTTGAATTAATTAATTAAAACAATGCGGCATAATTTTATAACAGGTTCCTTAACCTACACAATCCACTCACCTCGATAGTCGCAACGCTAGTGTTTTGCGAAATATTTTTGTATTGATGCAAGCCTTCTTTAGCGGTTTTTCCTTTTCTTAAATTAACGCACAATTCTACAAATCGGAGCATTATTGGCTCCAATGCAGCGAGAGGCGTACTGCGTGACCGCTTTGAAATAACAATCTCGTGAAGTGATTGAAGTGCAGCTACATTTTGACCAACCGCAATTAACTCTATTATAATTTTTACCCATTGATTTATCAATGAAAAAAAAAAAATATTAAATTATTAATAAAATGAAAATGTTCGTTTTATACATTATCAATTCATAATAAGCAAAAGGTGAGTAATTCGTGAAGAGGGAAAGACAATCACGATGACGAACCGAAACACAACAGATTGCGAATATATTGAGAAACTTTTGAGCATGAATCGTAAAGATATAAACTGATTTCCTATGCAATTCAGATACTCTACTTAAATTTAGATCAAGAAACCTATCACAGATAAATACCTTCCGCTCTTTTAAGAGCATTCTCGGGACGTTGATAAAATGGAGCCATGGCTAAGAACGGCCAAGCAGGGAAAAATCAATCTTCCTGCACTGAAAGAATCCGTAAAATGGCTTCCACTTAAATCCCGTATAGAAGATTGATGGATTCCTATATAAAAAATTTTTGTGTATACAAATTTTTTGATCTGAGGATGATTCGTCGGTTATGGGAAATTATTTCTGGGTTCTTTAAAAATTTTTTAAGATCATGTCTTTTTATCAAAAGTTTTCTCTCTCTTTTGCAAATTTATAAAAAATAAGGCAACATGGGTTAGTAATCCTTTTATCCATCCATACTATCTTTTTCAAATTTTAATAATCATAATGGATATTTTTCAATATAATAGCCATCAAAGAAGTTTTTTATAGTTTTTTTTTTCTTTTTATTAATATTACAGTTCTTGAAACCAAATAGTTAAAAATTTCCTTTTTGATAATAAAATAATTATGAAGAAATACTCAATTTGTTTGATGATCCGTTTAAACACCTGAATAGGTATCAGCAGAGATTCCCGCCACAAGCGTTCGCATACTGGTGCTAAACGAGCTCAATATCGTAAAAAGAGAAAATTTGAATTGGGTCGTCAATCCGGTAATACAAAACTTGGTATTAAACGTATCCACGAAGTCCGTGTTCGTGGCGGGAACAGAAAGTTTCGTGCCCTTCGTCTTGATTCTGGTAACTTCTCTTGGGGATCAGAAGCCATTTCTAAGAAAACAAGACTTATTGCAGTCGTTTATAATGCCTCGAACAACGAATTGGTTCGAACAAACACACTTGTGAAAGGTGCTGTTATTCAAATCGATGCTACTCCTTTTAGACAATGGTATGAGGCACATTATGCTCAACCTCTTGGTCGCAGGAAGGCCAAGAAAGATGGCCAGGTAATAATGTTTATTATTTAATTTAATTTTCCTCCTTTATATATATTTCTACACGTTTCTTTATTTTATCAAAAATGAGCTTATATCTATTATAAAGTTGATTAACTAGATCGATTTTACGCGAATAATATTGTCAAATCATATTTTACATAATTAATAATTTACTATTTTTTTTTTTTTTAACTAGGTTGAATCAGAGGAATTGAGCAAAAAGCGTTCCAATCACGTTAAGCGAAAGATCGATTCTCGTAAAGAGGAAGCCAAAGTTGATCCTATTTTGGAAGATCAATTTGCTACAGGTCGTTTGTACGGTATATATAGGTTTTACGTTTTTATGATCGTATTCATAATTCAATTTTATGTTCCTTTGTTAATTAAATATTTTACAGCCATCATATCTTCTCGGCCTGGTCAAAGTGGTCGTTGTGATGGTTATATTCTTGAAGGAAAAGAACTTGAATTTTATGTGAGAAAGATTAAATCAAAAAAATAAAAGTTTACCTCGTTTTTAATAAAAAAAAAGAGTTGGTATGGGTGAATTCTTTTATACAAAAAAAAAAAAATTTTTTTTCTAATCATTATAATGAAACGAAAAGACTTTATTAATAAATATTAGTATATATATTATCATTTACATCTTGATTTTATATTGTCATTGATAGATATATAATGTTTCTGAATATATTATTAAAATGAATTCATTTACTCCAAGACTATGATGTTCCTTGCCTTGGTACTAACTTAAAATGTAACCAATCAAATATGAGGTTGGCGTGATGTAGAATCTAATCAAATAGCTGATTGGGAGATTAGATCAAAAGGTTTAATGTTAAATATAAATATTTATTTACGAGACGTTCGTTTTAAAAAATTACGTTCATCCTTAATTTTCTTTTTCATTTAATTTTCTTACTCGAGAAAAATTAAAGATTAACAATGAGTGGTTTTAACATTGTTTGGGTCGGCTGTGCTATTACAGGTCTTGTTGCTCTTTCTTATGTTGTTGTTCCCAAGGGACAACATCAAACGTGTGTATTTCATTTTCTTGGATTAGATTTATAGTTCCATTGAAAAACTAAATATTTTTTGGTTCCACTTTATGTGTGGAATTTTGATGAACTTCAATATTTATGGCTTTGATTTTTTTTTTTTTTTATGTTAGGACGATTCGAACATCGCTTATTCTTAGTTTTATTTGCATTTATTTGATGTAAGTTCGTACATATTTATATATTTCATTATTTATTTGTTTTTTTTATTGAATTAGATCCGCTTATTTTATTACCGTTAAAGAAATTTGACTTATATTATTATTTATTTATTTGTTTTATAGGTGGGCAATTACTTATTTGTCTCAGCTTCATCCTCTAATAGCTCCTAAAAGAGCACCTGGTGAACATTAAGAATAAATATTAATTGGTAAATATGCATTTTTTAAACCTTATTAAAAAGAAATTGTTATCTTTATTTTTAATATATGTTTATTTATCTTTAGAAAATTTCATAATTAAGGCGAATCAATTTAACGGATAAATTTTTAACCAGTTTGGGTTAGTTATCTGGTTCATTAGTAGTATTAATTTATCTCGTGTTTAATAATGTACTATGTACTGAACATTCTTGTATTAATATTAAGAAATAGAAATCATGCTTAATTAATTTCATTTTATTTCATTTTATTTTATTTTGTTGCTTATAATAATAATTAACCATTTTGATCATTGAAAACGAGAAATTATATTCAAAATTTATTAATAAGCATATGTAGAAGATATATATATATAATTTGAAGCAGTATATAACTTTTTTATGCATCTAGTCTCTAAAAACTTGGATCATTTAAGTCAAATGATTTGTTGATTTTAATAATTATTACAATATATCAATCATTTCTTATTAAAATTTTCCCCAAATCATTTTTCTAACGTAACCTCGCTTTCCTTTAGCATCAGCGATTACTCCAACAATTTTAAGTGATTCAAAAGCTCTGCAGAATCTTGCCCTAATAATTTAATCACAAAAATTTTGTTTAGATGATGATGATATAACAATAATTCATATATCAACCACACTTACTTTGTTTCGTCATCAGTGATATTTCTATTCTCTTTCTTTATAATATTTTCAAAACTTTCTAACCAATCATTAATATGAATAAACTTACCAAATCCTACAAGTAATTTATATAATATACACCTATCATCCTGAGTATATGATATTTTTCCTGCGGGATCTATTTCATCATCATCGTCATCAGACTCATCAGGACAACATTTACAATTGAGATATTGTTTTGGTCTTCCAAGCGCTGTAGCGATTGATTGGCGAATTCTTGGAAGAAATAACTAATTGAAGATCCATCAAACGTTAGTCAATTTTAAATATATTAAATACCATTTGATTTGATTTGATTTGATCGTAGAGTTCAACTTACACCTTCAAGAGAATAAGATTCTTCCCAATAAAAAATTTCATAAAGAGTCTTTGTAGAGTAATGGCATAGGGTTTTCCTATTAGATAAAAAAGTTTAAGAATTAATTAAAAAGTATAGGTTTTTTGTATTATCATAATGAAACTTTACTTGAAAAAAACTTGTAGATATTCGAAAATTTCGTCAATCAATTTCGTGAATTTATCGGTGATTTCTTGTGAAGTTGTTGATGATGGTGCTAGTGCGAAAATGCTATCTATCTCTCCTTGCATAAGGATAGCGGTTTTTTTCTTTCGTTTTTTATTCTTTGGTAATTTTATTGAAGATTGTAATAAGTTTCCAATCTGTTCTAATTTTTCACAAAATTTTGGAATTGCTGAATTCACACATTCTGCCTTTTCAAGAACATTTTGAAAGTTTTCGAGGAATTGTTTAAGATCTCGAAACTTCAATTTCCTGTTATAAAGAAAGTTAATTCATGTTCATTATCAATTTTAAATAAATAGAAAATGAATTCACTCACTTGAATTCATATAGCAAATACCGAACATGCTCATGTTCCCCTAATCCAGGATGTGTTAATGCATAAGAATATAATTCGTACTTTGCCTTGATCAATTTTGGATTATCACAAACATATTGCTGCAAATTATAAACGATTTCAAATGCTACAGCGAAATTTTGATGATAATTTTTCATATCACGCAGAATATTTGGTAATATGGATTTGACAGAATTATCATCCTCAAGCAAAGAACGCGCAACCTTTGGATGACTGTGCTCATCAATAAAATGTTCCACCAATCTATAATCCATATGAAAAGAAAATTCTTAAGTAAAAGAAAAAAATATTATTGCATAATAAAATCCTGGTAAATTGTTTAATTACCTTCTAAATGAAGGTTGCATACGTATCATTTCCATATGATATTTATTCAATAAATCAACTCTCGATGAAACTTCGTCCGGGTCAATAGTTGTGAGAATACTTAATGGATTTGAATAGAAATAGTAATTTATGACATGCTAAATATTATAGAAATTTTTTTTAGTAACTAATGATTAATCAACGTTTTGATAATAGTAATAATAATAATGATCTACCTTGATAGAGCACTCAAAATATTTAAGAGAAACTTTTAGTCGCCCATACATATCATTAAGAAAATTGTATGGCCTTATACCGACTTTAACGCCAAAATGATTTTTGATGAAGAACTATGAATGAAATAAATTTTAACGAATTGATTAGAATAATGAAATGGGATGAAATATATATAATTTACCCTTGCTATAAGTTCATCGAAATTGTGAATGTTATCCGATAAATGAAATTCTTTGAGTCTCAACAAGCGTTCCACCGAATATGAATAACCCTCGTGAATAGCATCAATGCCTCTATATCCTGAGGAAATGCCCAATATTAATACAATGGGAATCTGGCTTTTGTGTTCACTATAAATGAAAAGTTTAAAGATTTAAGATATCCACATTAAAATAATTAAAATTAAAAATAAAATAAATGTGATATATTCACTTGAGAATATGAAGATATTTTTCCGCTATTACAGGATCTAATAAATCGAAATTATATATTATAATAATCAACTTTGGCAAAGATCTAAGACCTATGATATAACGTAATATAAATTAAAATTGTGATTTTTTGAAATAATGATATGTAAAATCACTTGGGTAATACCACTAACCGTGTAATTTGGCATTACTCTCGTACCATTTTACCAATGATTCAATATCAACCTGAAAAAAAGTTCAATTAAACCATACATTTTATCGGTAAAAGAGAACTATTTTGAATTATGTAATGTATGCTTACTACATCCTTGACTGAAAGGGACGTTAATTCATCATTTTCACCACTTTCCTTGATTTGGTTATAAAATACTTGTTAATATTTTGTTGCTCAAGAAAACATATAAAATATGTAAATAATTATTAGCCCCAAACCTCTTCTAAATTCATATCATCATCGCTTTCATCATCATGATTAGATTGTCCTTCATCGGTAGAATCTTCTTCTAATTCCTCGTCATCCTTGATTGTTTCCTCGTCATCACTATTATAAGTATTTTCTGCCAAGAAATGATTATAACCACTAAAAGAAGATCCATTTTTATATTTAAAATATCTAATCGTGTGAGTCACCAGATCCTCTAGTTTTAAAACGGTCGTTGAATCAATCAACACGACACAGGTTTGTTGTTTTTCAGATAAAGAACGAGCAAAACTTTCAAAAAGGTTTTCACGTGAGGGATCATATCCTATAAATAAGCATACCAATTTAAGTCAAGTAAATAAAGCAAACAAAAAAAAAAAAAAAAGATTAATATACCTCCAAAGACCAAAGCCGTCGGCAACCCAAATATTCGTGATTTCAAGAACCTTATAACAAGAAAGAGCGTTAAAAATTTAATTTATTTTACCGTTTGATTTACATATAATTTTTAAATTAATTTGAAATCATTTGAAATCTTACTGATGAGTATCACTTTCATCGGAATATGTATCTTCGATATAATTATAAAGATCATTTACGGTAACTTCATTCATTTGAAAATAAAAATTCTAGAAAAAATATTATAGTAAAATCAATAATCAATTGAAATTAAATAATTAATGGGATTTTTTCTCCTAAATTGAAATAATTCATACATTTATTTTATAGTCCACTTCTTTAATATTCCTATCACAATCATCATATCTAATTTCTACTGCTTTACGAGATTCTCTTCCATTAAACAGTATCTCTTTAAAACAGCCAGTGAAGCTATTCGAAAGTTTACCTAAATAATTAAATATTAATTAAGACTCACAAATATTTAAGATTTTTACTTTTTAAAACGCGAAACTATTCTATTAATATATTTTTTTTATTACTAAAATTTCTTTATACTATATACGTACCACTCTTAATCAAATCCTGTTCATTATTCAGCCGTGACTTTAACTTTGGATTGCGTCCAGAAGTCTCTATGGCCTTTAAAACGGACTTGCTAGACATATTTAGGGTTTTCCTCTTAAACGCGTAAAGCTGAATTTAAGATATCACATTGTGATATGCAGTGTGACGATCCCAATTTAAGAATTATGGAATACATTAACGTTAATATTATATTATATATTTTTTTTTTTTTTTTCAAAGTATTACGACAAGGAAGTAATCCTCGGGGCAGCATCAAGACTACTTGCTGTCTTAGTTGTACTTGCGGTTCGTTATTTCAACAGGAACGCTGAAGTTGCATGCTTTGATTTCTGATACCTAAAATTTGAATCGATCGATTTTTTTTCAATAATGATTTGATAAATTTGATAAAATGAAAATATTGGGTTAATTTTTTACTTTGATTAGATCAGACCAAAAAGTTGTTCACTTTCACAAACATCGGATCATATGAAGAAGAATATTTAAAAACGTAATGATTTAAATATATTATTAAAATTTTTCAAGTTTTATTTTCTAAAAAACCAAAATATATTAAATATATTAAACATTTAGTATTTAGCTTTTTCTTATAAATAATACATTCATTTTAAATTTAAAATTGAAATAAAGTTTATTTATATATAAATTTAATCATATATATCCAATTATTCAAAATATTATAAAGATTAATACTTTAATGCAAATCACCGATTTAAAAGTATTGTTGGAAAATAAATAAACGCGAATGACGCAATTATAAGTGCAGCTATAAATGTTAATAAAGCACATGTAACTTCTAATACTTATAAACCTAATAAAACGTTATCAGAAATTCTTTACAACTGCAAATATGCCTCAAATTCGTAACAAAGTACCGAGAGAGCTCAAATTCCTTCTTGAAAGTAATAAGAAGTTCCTGACCTCTTTTTCTGCAAAAGGAAAAACAATTGCAGAAAGAAATAAGCAAAGACGACGAGGATGTCAGTTAACAAACCGAGTTGAATCAGATAGCCCTTTCGTGGTTTCTGAAATAGTTAAAGAGCCCGTGCAAGAAGAACAAGAATCAGTTACGGAAAGTGAAGACGAAGAAATGCAAGATGAAGAGACGGATGTCGTGACAGCTCTTAGTGCCTTAAACAAAGAATTTCCTCGAGTAGTGATACCGATATCTAACCCAGGAGGCAAAGCTTCCTATTTAAAAGTTACTACCCGGCAAATAAAAATAAGGTCGGAACAGATTCAACCAGTTCAAGAAAACTTAACTGGTTCAGAGAGGTATTTTGAAGATAATGCAATGCAAACAGGAAGGTTCAGAGCAAAAAAAACTTCAGACGATATTATAAATTTGATCCATAACGAATCTGCACTTTCTCCCGTTATTGAGAGACATGTTGAAGAATTTAATGAGATTGAGAGTTACATTACCAAATATTTTAATCAATGGGAATTTCAGCTAAATTTCAATCAAAACATTTTGTTATACGGATTTGGGTCGAAAGAACGCATCCTGGAACATTATCAAGCTTTCCATAATAAAAACAAAAGTATCACATGGGTTCATTTTTACGGAAATGACGACTTAATAACATTGGACCTTGCCTATTTAACGTTATTGGAGAATTTATTCGGTCCTAAAAGTAAATACTCTAAATTCACTTTGGTAAGAAAAGCGGATCTTATTCGTGATTATTTTAAGACTACTGATGTAAAGTCGATTTTCAAAATAATTGTAAGTATTATTTTTCTCTCTTTCTTTATTATATAGTCCACAACTAAATAATTTTCCTCATTCGTTAAAAATTAGATTCACGATATAAACGGTTCCGTATTTGAAAATCATGAGGCCAGAACAGCATTGGTTTTACTCAGCGGCATTCCAAATATCCATTTGCTTGCTACGAGTGAAAATATAAACTTTTTTTCCGTATGGAACCTTATCGAAGTAGACAGAATGAATTGGCATGCTCATGGGATAACGAGCTATAGAAATTACAAATTATCTATGGCAAACAGAAAAAAAATAGTGAAAACCTGCCAAAACTTTGGGTTGGAGAAAAATGAAGTCAAGTCCGTGTTAATGTCGTTTAATACTCACCGTCGTGAAATGTTTTACACGTTGGCAAATCATATTGTCGAAGCCAAAAGGAAAGGTGATACAAACTGGAACGGCATAAGTTTGAATAAATTTTTCAATTATTGCAACAAGAACTTAATTTGTCGTGAGAAAAAGAACTTTCATCTCTACTTGGAGGATTATGTCCGTCAGGGCATTTTTATTTCGAATAAATCTCGTTCTGATGAAGCCAGAATTACCATCCCAATGTCCTTTCGTGATATCAAAGCAATGTTATTAGATAAAGAGATATTCGGATATCTTAAAGGATAACTGTTTTATATTTTATAATGTATAATTATATAGATATAGATACGTTTTTTTTAATCAAAAAAAAAAAATAGATAAGTTGACAAGTATCACTAATCATTTTATTCGTTCCTACTTTTCATCAATGTTGCATAAAGAATTTAAGTTTTCAAAACATGAGATTAATTCGATCTCGTAAAGTGATTGAAGAAATTTCATCCTCGATCGTTCTTAATATACATATAATATGTCTATCATTACAAGTGGGGTCATTTATGGGAGGATTATAACAAATGTTCATTGAATAAGATCATCAGATAAAGGATCCTACGGCATTACCATCAATTAATAATATGTTCTTAATTAAAATGTTCGTAATTAAATCTCTAATATATTATTCCGCTCATCATTTTTAAGTTTAACGCATAAAAAAGCATCCAATAACGAAATGATTACATGCCGGAAACTGAATGCATGTAATCTTTTGTTAAAAAATCATTTATAAAATAATTGTCGAATTTCAGTAAATACAAGAAATACCTACCTGAATAATTGTTATTGTTTCTTAAAGTAGGGATGAAGCGGTTTGACTTTTAGCTTACGTGATAGACCTGAAGAAGGTATTTTGCTCAAGGCTCCTATGGACGGGTCATTTGGTTAATTTATAAAGAGTTGAATCAATAGATATCTTCTGAATATTATTATTACTCACCCGAAATAGGTTTAAAATCTAAAATAATTTTAAAAAAAATAAAATCAAATCAACAAATTTAATTTTTTACCCTAATTTAATATATATAACATTATCATATATTTACCAGAAGTAAACTTTGGTGTTGAAGGAATTGATTCTCCTATCGCTTTCTTCTATCGTAAGAGAGAAATTCAATTAAATACTTTTCATCAATCATTCTTGTCGCACAATAACTTTAATTACCTTTAATCCTCCAATCGTTTTTTTGGTTAGAAGTGAAGATACAGTCTTCTTATTTGAAGGTTCAGAAGTATTTGTTTGTTTCTTTCCTATACCTTTTCCACCGCTTTCTTTCGCTGACGTTGATTTCGTTTTTCTTCCCGTATTTGGACTCTTCTTTTTTGATTTACTTTTACTGCTTTCTTCGTAATCACTTTCGTCATCACTAACATCAAAAACGAATTTATCATCATCTGAATCATCGTCTGATTTTGCAGACGGATCGCTTAATTCGCCATCATCAAATAAATCTGTCAAGAGCGATGAGATTTATGAGAAGTTCTTTATAATAGAATGAATTGCACAAAAATAATTACCGTCATCTTCAGCACCATTTTTGATATTGACATTGGTAGGTGTCGGGTCTGTGATAACTACCATATTCATCTCTTGAGCACCTCCATATTTTGGAGTTTCTTCGGATTTCTCCACATCAGGTTCTTTTTCTTTATTATCTTTATTTGATCCTCTATTAAAAGTTAAAAAAAATTAAAATATGATACCATAAAATGAATTATATTGTACAAAAAAAAAAAAAATCTACTTGCACCGACTTTTTACCCAAGCTCAACTTTTTCTTTTTCCTTGTTTGAACGAGTCCAGATGAAGCTTCGTTCTCACCATTATGAGGCATATTTCGAGTGAACGCACGCGAAGACGACCCTTGAAGGGAGTCTATAAATAATATAAAAGTTAGACGCGTTAATGAGAGAGTTAACTTATGAAACATTATTTACCTTCATCATTAGTTTTTGTTTTCTGTTTGCCACCACTTGGAGATTCTAAATCTTCGACATTGTCAGTTGGTAAAGCGCACTTATCATTATAATCGACACACTTGCGTTTTCTTTATTGGTTATATTTTATCAAACGCGAAAAAACGCGTATAAATGCAAAAATTAATAGAAATATAAGAAAATTCAATTACACAGTATATTGTTACCTCGTTGACCTTCTTATTGAATCCATGTTTCTGTAATTTCAAAAAATTCAAAAAAAAATCAAAAAAATTGTGAAAAGTGGTCTTTACGTTTCGGTTTAATTATAGTGTGATTAGGGATTAGGGATGGGAACGATCCGATCCAGACCGAAAGACCATTGGTCCGGTCATAGCATGACTGAATTTCTTTATGATTGGCCACTATTTTGATAAACAACACTAACTGTGATTGGTTAGAATTTTTCACG